TACTAAGAAGGGGCAGTGTTACAACAGCGGTAGTCACGTTCTCTGGTAACACGTCATGGTCTTCTCGAAGGATCGGGGAACCTCACGAATAATCCAGTATGTGCTAGGCGCCCTCTATTTCTGTATATAATGCGCCGGTTAACGTGAGACTAATTAAATGGAATTGAATTGCAGACAGAGATAGAGATGGACAATTGAGTCAAGCGCGTGAATAGTTCGTTGTGAATTATAGCGTTTGTTTAAGTTATAGCGTGACTGTGGAAGTTAAGTGTATTGCAAAGTTGTATTGAGAAAGAATAAACTAGTTTTATTTAAGAAAGGACTTGTATTGCTAAAGTTTCTTCGGAAAAAAAATTTTTACGGAAAATTAACAAACGAACAGAGACGTAACACAACAAACAAAAACGCTCGAGAGCTTATGACCCAAAAATTCTGAGCTAGCCCATTATGTAACTTTGTGCTTAAAAACAAATAAACAAAATTTAAATAAATTTGTCATTTGAAATTATGTATCTTATATATGTCTGTATGTACAGCTACAAAAGTTGTCATTTTACATTTTCAATTTATAGTTTTTGTTTGTTTGTTTTTTCTTTATTGTATTCAGAATAATGAAAATATCTTCTGTTTTGAAAGCACGAAACAACTCACGTTGGCCAGGTGTGTTGCAAGCTTGATAGTTTGGATATGATAATCAATTACTAAACCATCAATATTATGAAAAATTATGTTTAATAGTTAAAACATATGTTAGTTAAAAAAGTATTCATGATGTGTTTCCATTTATATTTCTATCAGAGAGTCTTTTTTATCAATGATAAAATAAATGATAAGCTAAATAAACTAAGCAAAAGCATTATAATTATATCATCTAAATAATATTAGATGTGATTCATATTGTGTTGTTACACATCTGAGACAAAGTTGTCCAATTAAGTACATACCTAATTACACTAACTAAAAAACGTAGTGTATTAATTTTAAAATGTTCTTATTATTGAAATGACACTATTTGTATATGAGATGGCGTTGTGTTGCTATATGTTTTGTTTACTGCCAGTGTTGCGAAGTTGTATATTGTATTCAGGTTTTATCCGTATTATTCTTTATTTTATAGACAAGATGACGAAAATGAACTAAATCGTTAACTTAACTAATCTACTCAACAGTAGTAATGGAAGTATAATAAGGTTCATTAGCTCTGTTGTTAGCCTGAATACGTTTAGCCTCGTTTACGTCACATGTGGCGATGTAGTGCGTATTACTATTACCGTCATTTTGTTCAGATTGGGATTTAGCAGCCTATGTATGTACAAATATATATGGAGGATTTTTCTAAGTGTTTCGTCTTTGACATTAATCAACTTGTTTGTTTTTTAACATACGTTTCTGCCAGAATGTTTCATGTCATTGAAACTTGTGAAACCTCTTAAGTCTCAAAATATTTGATCTTTGGACCTTGTGAAACAACCCTCTCCTTTTTTTTTTCTTTTGATAAGTCAGATTTTATTGTGGATGTTAACGTAGTTGAAATATGAAGCTATATTTAGTAACTAGTCAAATATTAAAAGTATAGGTCGTTTGCGAATAAAGCTTGACACTTTTAGGAATGTTATTGGTGAAATATCTGAATGCTAAAAGTAAAATTAATGGGAGTGTTATATAACTTTCCTATTACAGTGTTTTCATATTTTCAAGCAGCATAATGAGTGGTCTTGATGAATTTCGTAATCAATGGCTTCAAGAACTAAAGCCAGTTGCAGAGTATACAAATCCCAATGGAATTAGTAAAAGCAGTGGATCAACTAGTGCTACTGCTGTTGATAAAGAACCAGGAAAAGATGTAGGAAACATTGAAATTTACTTAGATCCACTCAAAAACAGTTTTGTAGCAGCAGAAAACAGTAAAGCTGGTACAAACAGGCCTGATAGTGATACATCATTTCAGGCTTTAAATGTAGGTTTTGATCCAAACACAATTAAAAGAACAATGAAAGATCCAATTTCTAACCAAAGTTTTGACAAACATAATTTATCAACAAGATCTGTGTCAGATATTAACTACATTGATAAATTTGGTGACAAGAGGCCCTGGGCATTTTATATAACAGAACAGCTGCTTCAAGGTAAAGTTCCGTGCAACAGCAAGTTATTTCAATCCAAGGAAAATAATATAAATGAGAATGCTTACGAAAGTATTGACAAATGGTACAAAACCATTTGTGATCAGTCGACTGTTAATAAAAGATCTGCACTTTCTGTTATAACACATGATGTACCCAAAAAAACTAAGAAGGATGCTTTTGGGAAGGACTGTCTGATTGATGTTTTAATTCATGATTTGGTATGTACCAGCTTAGAATAAAATTAGATGTTGAGATCTTGCTTTTAAAATTTGTATGTGTAACTACCTCATTGTCAAGCAAATGTCTTTTAATTTACTGTTAGTTTCTCCAGTTGTTTGAGAATGTATAGTATACCATCCCATGTTGTTGGCAACTTAAATTAATAGGAATGGTTAAACTCATTAAAAAGTTTCTTTTATACAATTTACTGTAAACTTGTAATAATTGTAGCAAAAATAAATAAATAAATGTTATAACTGAGTATAATATCTCAATACACTACAACATAGTGAAATAAACATTGTAATTAAAGGTGTAATGATAAACATTAAAGCACTTAAAATTATTTTTACACATAATTTGCTTACACTGAGAAAAGGTATATCATAAATTTTAACACAGAAGAAGAAAAATAATTTTTTTAAGATATTAGCAAGTCAAAGTACTAATTTAACATTTGATTTTTTAATAAAGATAAATTAGTTGAAGTGGATGGGACAGCCTCAATGGACCATCGAGGCTCCCTAGTTATCCTTAAATCTTATTGTTTATTTTTTTATTTTTGAAACCAAGTATGGTTTATTTTAGTGCCTTTATTACATTTATTTTTGTTTCTTATTTTAGGTATTGTTGGAAGAACCATGAAATACAAATGTAATAACATAAATTGATAAAGCTTTTGATCAATATCTTCAGTATGTAATCTACTGTAATAAAAGTGTATTAATACAGATATGTAAAAATTGAAATAAGTAAACATAAGTTCAGTTCACTGAAACACAACCTTCTTAATTGGTTAATAATTATAAACTGATTTTAAAATTCTCAATCATAGAAAAGTTTCATATTTAGAAGTCACAGCTGTTGAATGAAATACACAGTTTAAACTGTCCTTAGATTTGTACTGTATAAAGTTTGTAATTTGTTTCTGTAGAAAGTTTGCAGTATATTCTGTTTGAAAGATGAGTGGAAATATCAGTTACAAATAAATGTCTGTGATCTTGAGATTCAGTACATGTAGTGCTATATGAAAAAAGCTAATCTGTTGTAAGTCATGTTATTATCATTTGTAAGTAATGTTTTTGCTCTATTTTTCAGGATGATATCAATGATATTCCATTTTTTGACATTACATTACCTAAGGAAGTTGCTATCAAAATTTTCCAGTGCTTGGGCATTGAAGATTTGTGTTCCTGTGCTCAGGTAAGCTGTTGTTTTCCTCATATTTAGATAAATTTTTAAGCTGAACAACATTTGAAAAAGTTTAATGTACTGTGGATGAAGTGTGTCTGTAAAGGTAAAAAGTAATTTAAATCAAGAACTTGCATAAATATTGTTGTAGTTGTTATAAGAAAGTGAGATTTGTTCCCTAACCCTTCCTTAAAACAATTGTGGATTCATTGTGTACTTATACCTATGGATATTTACAAAAGTCAGTAATTAAATAAGCAGTCAAACATATAGGATACGTGAAAGTCATGCTAAAACAATTACCATTATTTCTTCTAAAGAAATAGAGTATTTATAAACAGTTCTTAAATAACCCATATTGTTGTGTGTGCTATTAATATGGGTTATTTAAGTAATATTTAATTCAGTGGGTATCTTGTCTTTCTTTGTTTTAGTTTTGCATTTGAAATCTGTTACTCAAAATGGATAATACAAGGATTTACAGTTCATATTATTGCTATTATTCAAAATAAGTTCTATGTTAACCAAGATGTACATTTTTGAAAATGACAGAAATCTGTGAAGTTGTTATGAAATGAAACAATAAAACCATTAACACAAGCCCAGGTTAAAAAATAATTAGAATAATACCAAAAAAGACCCCAGTGAACCATATTAAGTACTATTTGAATCTTAAATAAAAGACTAATAATGATAGTGAAAACTATACGAACAAACAACACACCACAAAATTAATTATAGATTTGTAATCTTTTTTTTTAACTTGAAATATTTGGATAATGTTGAGAAAAGCAATAAGTTTATGACAGCAAACAATATACTTTATCTATCTAGAAAAGGCATTTATTCTAAGAATAAGACTATTTTCACAAAGCAAAAGACTCTCAATAAACCTCATTTACTGTTGTGTGTTCAATTTTGTTCTTTTATTACCAAAATGAAATCGATCTGATGAAAAGGAGAGGAGATGAACTATTAAAATGATAAATTATTTTAAAATCTAAGGAGAGATTTGTACAGCTCCATTTGTTTTCATAGATTCAGATTTTAAATTTGAGACTTAGTTGATCATTCTTTGAAATTTGTTTTGAATTTTAGGTTTAGTAATGCTGACTAGAGCTGGCAATTAACACAATTAATCGATATAATCAATAACCTATGAGCATTGATTACCTCAATTAGTATCACATAATGTAGTAGATTAATTTCTCAAAATAATCAACTCATTTCAATTATTGTTTCTATTTATTATTGTTCTTGATTATTTCAGCTATACAAGTAATCAAAATATTGCCATTATGATTTTTCATTATTATTTTGAATTAATTCAAGTTTGTTTAATCAGTTAGTGTCATCATTACTCATGAAAATAATCAATTAATTGAAATTAAGGTTTTCAATTATTCCATCTATCCAAGTGATTGAAATATTGCCTTTATGTTTCTTTGTTATTAAGTGCAAAGCTAGACAATGGACTATCTGTGATCTGTCCACAGCAGATATTGAAACCCAATTTGTATCATTATAAGTTGTTGTAGTTTGTAATCAACTCGTGAAAATAATCTTTTTTTTTTGCTTTTTTGTGTTTAGCCATCTACTGAGAATAATTGATTAGTTGAATGTAATTAGTTAATGAGCCCAAAGATTAATCAATTAGCAAATTCTACTAATTGCCCAACTCTAATTGATGACCTAAATATTAAAAATTATAAATATAAGCTTAATAAAATATACACCCAGTTTTCTTTCTTAGACATATTTCTCTGTCAATTTATAGAGTTTGTCTGATGAAGTAGTAAGTGAGTTTGAAGTAACGAGTTTTTGATGGATAGGTATATGGGTGCAAAAGGTAATGTTAAGTGGATTAGTATTTGGTTTTTGTTCTTTCAAAATTTATGTATGGCTGTTATCATGCCAGTTGTTAAGTTATTAAATGTTTGTTATTCTATGAAAATATTTACAAAGCATTTTCAAGAATAGATGTTAACTAAAAAATGTGGAAAACTCTGTTTACATACATAAAAACTTCTGTGAATGACCCAAGAAGTTTTTCCAAACTTAATTTAAAAGAATAATATTTAAAAAGAAGATTATCAAAAAAGGGTTTTCCTTAAAGACTATGAATTTCTGTTTGAGGATTGTTTAATACTCTAATGTTGTTTTTATTAGCATGATAACACTAAACAATTTTATGATGCCACTTAAATGTTTGTAAAAGCAAGTGTGTCTGTTAGGATGTACATATTCAACAATGAAAAATGATGCTTTTAAATTTCTGACTCTGAACAGGTTGTCAGTAAATTTTAGAGTTACAGTGAACTAACATCAATACACACGATTTTGATTTGCATCTCACTTAAAACATTGTTAATTAACACAATTTTTAATTAATTATACCAAAAATCATTTCTATGAATCTGACAGACTTATCAAGGTTATCAGATGAGCTCTTGAACATCACATTGCTTTAACACTAATATATTTTCTAAACAACTTTTCTGACAAAACTTTAAAACAAACCAAACTATCAGCATTTGCATATATTTTTAGCATTCAGTAGTTACACATATTTCTGCAGTTCTCAGATTAGAGTTCATAAATCACCACTTTTTGTACTATGTTAATTTATTTATTAATGGTTTCTATTCTAATATTTATCTTTAGATTTCATTATTTGATTTGCTAAGTTGTTTCCTATCTATTTATTTTACCTTCTTTTAGCTGTGGCATGGCAGATCAGAGAATGTTTCTGAGTTGTTGTTTTTTTTGTTTTTTTTCAAGTATAAACTTTTAGCTCATATCTCCGTCATCTATTGACCGATTTGAGATTTAATTACATTTTTGCACACAGGAGGTCAAACCCTTTCGATTTATGTATTTGACCACACCCATAATCTCGTAGATTAATTTACTCTAATCCTGCCTAGAAGAATTTCAGAGTAAGCTGGTAGAGATCCTGATAAGTAATAAAATTGAATCGGGTATATATGCATGCCCCATACTTGGTATTGCTGCCACACAAAAATACAGCTAATAAAAAGAAAAAAAGGGTGTCATAGATTAATTTACTCTAATACAGCCTAAAAGAATTTCAAGTGACACGGCCATTGAGGATTCCCTCTTGTTTGTTGCATATAACTTGTAGTTTTTGTCTTTCTATGTACCCTTCCCTGTATTATTGTTTTCCTGTATACTTTCGAGTGTTGGTTGTTTTGTTAGCATTTTATTTCCATTTTCAGATTAATAAAAATTTTATATAATCTATATTTGAGTGTAAAACAGTTTTTTTACTTAATATATGTTATTAGAAAAAAAAGACTATTATAAGTTATATTGATGATAAGTTATATTAAATTGATGATTAGTTGTTAATTTTTATATTGTTTGGGTTTATGGTGATAAGTGTGTAATATTAGGGGTGTTTATTAAGAATTTGAATTTATTTTTACAATGTGAATGCTTGTTTTCTCCATAAATATTCTGATAGATTAAATGTAAAGTGATCTTTTCATGAATCTTTTGTAGTTGTCTTTTTATTTTTGCCACCATGTGTTTTCTGTTTAATTCATATTTGTCTGTGTTTCTTGAGTTACTAACTTTTTACTATGATTTGCTGTATAGTATAAATCTCCTGTAATGTTGTTTGCTTTCTGACAATCTGTTATTGTTGAGCTGTTTTATGTTATGTCTATTGACGTTTCTGAAGTTTTTTCTTTTACAGTGTTAGAAGCACTTTTCTTGTTTCTCTGAAAATTTCTTCCAAACTCATGTTCCTTGTATTATTCTTTCCCTGTTATGTTTTCTTTTTTCCAAATTTTGATTCAATTTGTATAATATTTTCACTTGTTACTTCTTTTATGTAGTTGTGGTTGTCATTGTTTGTTGTATGTGATGTCTGTTTTCACTCCAATTTTGTTTCATAGTATGTGTATTTTATCATGAATGTATACATTAGTACTGCTTTTCTCATAGATATTTTTTTGAATTTTCAAACATATATATTTTTTCGTAGGCTGTTTTATTTACTTTTATTTTTCTTATAAGATCAGTTACTACACCTAAAGTCTGGATTTCGTCCCATTTCTTTTTGAGTCATATTTTTTGTTTGTGATGTTTTACATGTTGGGCATTTCTGCATTTTAGGTAAGTGTATTTTTTGGCAAAATTTTGTTGCCATATTTTAGGATCAATCAAGCTAGTTTTACCAGACTGATTTTTTGGTAATTTGGTGCTTATTATTTGGCATGTTTTTGTATCATCTGTTGTTGCTGTGTTTTCTATTGTTTCTTTAGTTTTTTTTTTTTCTTTCTTATGTTTGTTTGTTTCTGCCTTCTTTTGATTTTGCAGTATAATTCATGTTCTCTTTCTCTTGTATATGCTGTGTTTTTGGTTTGTGTAACTGTGTTCTATTGGATTTTTGTAAATATTTTGTATTTAGTTGATAGTGGTTCATAATAGGGTTCACCCAGGAATCTCACAAAAATTCTAATAGAACATACAGGCAAAAATCATCTTAAAAAGCAGACTTGTTCTTGAAACAACACTCAAGACCTTCTATCTCAATGGCTAATGCTGCTAAAATATTGATAATAGCAAAATAGTTGATTTTTCAGTTGTTAGACAAAGTTCATCCATTTGTTCTTCATATTATTCTTGCTTCACAAGCCTACAGAAGAAACAACTATGAATATTTTAATTCAAATCTGAGCAAACCTACTAAAAAAAAACTCTGCAGGTCATGGGAATGTTTTTATGTTGATTCTTGAAAGAGAAAGAAGATCTTATTAATTTTTGAATTGCTACTGGCCAAGTTTCTCTTTGAAGCCATACAAGCACCAAAGCTTACAGCAAAAACAGCTAGGTATATTGCTCTAAAATGTATGCACAGCTACTAAACAAACTCCTGCAAAAGTTGTATGGATATTTTGAAGTTGCTTCTTGAAAGTCAAGATTTCCACCCTATAAAATTTTCCAAGTTCTACGCTAGCAACATAAGCTCTTCAAAGCCATTCAAGCATTCCCGGAAATGTAAAAGCCATTTAAACACCATTATACTAGTTAGAAATGCTCCATTTTATAGGAGTGAAAAATGCTTTATTTATAAGAGTAAATAATGTGTATATTTATAACAGTGTCTCAAGCCTTATTATTATTGATTATAGTTTTAGAAGCTGCTACAGAAAAATTGACTATGAATATTTTACTGAAACCTGGACAGTAGTAATGAATGCAGTATTGAGTATGTCATAGGGTAGTTTTAAAATTAATTCAAGCTCATTCGTTTTTTCATCCTGAAGAATTTCTCTGAATCCTTCACTTTCTGCCACTGAAAAAATTTGGTGTTTTACTAATGCACATTAATTGGAAAATAATTTGTGCAACTTATAGCACATTAATTGGAAACTGCCACATTGAGGATTCATCATTTCTTGAGTTTGTTGCTGTACTTTATCTCTACGTCGTTTTCTGCAACTATTTGAGTTTTTAACAGATTACCATAGTAGATTTCTCTACTCTTGTAAGTGGTGATTTATTCTACAGATTTTCATACTTCACTTGTTAAACACATGTTTATATGAAACATCAGGCACAAAAACCGCCTGATGGTGGTTGGGTGAAAAAGCCAACGCAGTAGTAAACTTGAAAAACATGTGACATTCAACTTAATGCATATGCATGTATGTAGCTTAAAATTTATTCTTTATAAGTGGACATAACAACTTATGAAACAAGATAATTAAAAAAGGGAATAAGGATCATTAAAAAAGTACAGAAACAAGTTGAACCAAAATACAAAGATTATATTTTCAAGCCTACAACTAGGGAATGTAAATATAGTAAACAAACTAGGCTGGAAATAGTGTCTACATTATTTTCTCAAGCTACAAACCCATATTTTGAC